AATAAAATTGTCACTTCCTCCTGAATAAACTACCAAATGAGGTAATTTTGGATGTAAAGTGAGAGAAATACTCACATACCAGGAAATAATCTTATTGGCTCCAAAAATAGCGAACTTTCTTTTGACAGATTCAATTTTACTTTCTTTAAAATATAATATTCTGATAAATATGATCCCAATTGTTAAGTCAGAGAATAAATCAAAAACTTGTGCCCCTTGAAGTTAATTTTATATTTGTATAGTGAATTAAAATATGTATAAGACGTCTTTATTCTAAGATAGTTCCAAGAAAAAAATTACTTTTTATAAGTTCATATTATTTTTCATAATTTAATTCAATAATTATTCAAAACTTTTGAATTACAATTATTAAACACGTACATTATTTAACACTTTCCTAAAGTATGTATGGAATTTTAAAAAATGAAATCTAAAATTTGAATGAAATGGGTTTAATAGTTCGCGATCAATAAAACCGCAAAATAATACATATTTAACTGAATTTTTTTTTATCTCTCAAAAACTCTTTGACCGATACACTTCAAAATTTGGATTTTATCATTTAAAATTATATAGTTAAAGAAGATGCCAAAAATATAATGTCATTCAAGTCAATGATAATTTTTAAATTAAATCATAACAAAATTAATAATTACTAATTAGTGTATCATGAAATTATAAAATTTATAATTATTTAATAAAGAAAATTAATCTTTTTACCAATCGTTATTTTTCATAATTTATTTTAATAATGATTGAAATCTTTTTTTAACTATAAGTTTGAAAACCCTCATTTTCTAACAGGAAAAGATTTACTACTAAATTGTAGAAAAATTTCCTAAAACGCAAGAGATCTAATAGGCTGGCTTCAAAATTCTCACATAAACTTTGAGTAATTATGAATTAAATAATCGTGATATATATATATCATTATATCATGATAACTAGTCATTAGTAACCATGATGTGACAAACATGAACGACAGGTTACTGTTGAGTTAGAGAAGGCAAGAAAATGACATCATAAAACCTACTTGCGTTTTAAAACCTCTTAAAATAGGTTTTTCTGTGTTCCAACTGGAAGATTTATTTTAACGAATTGTCTTAAAATTAGGCGTTTAAAAAATAACTTTTCCTAGCGTCATTTATGCAGAGAAATGAAAAAAAAGCGATAATGACATACTTTCTTCTGAAATTCTCCCTCCAAAATATTTCGGAAATCCAAGGAAGCACATAAATTGTTTTCGAGGATTGAAATGATTAAAAAACTCTTTCTACACGCACTACTATATTTGTAAGCCACTTAAGAACCTTTGGTTGTTTTAATGAAATTTAGAGTTATTAAAAGAAATTTTTTGGAATAGCATGTTCCACATTTTAACGTATACAGCTGAACTGTTAACCATTTTTTTACATGTTTCCTTCTGCTTTGCAGATTTAATGACGTGCAATATCGGTTAGTTTGAAGAGAAAAGAGCATTCATGAAATCATAATCTAAGCAAGACTCTATCCACAGTCATACTTGCAAGCTTTCTCATCCAGACCGAACTCGAAAGGTTGGTTGGTACTTAGTACTTAGGAAAAGTACTTAGGAACTTTATTTATGTCGCACTAGAGCTGAACAATGGGGTATTGGTAACGATCTGGGAAACATCCCTGAAGATGATCGGAAGGTACCGAGCACCCTCGGTACCTACGCAGGCTGATCAAAGTGGTCATCCACCCGCTTACTGACGGTGTTCTAATGGAAACCGTGTCTCGGGACGTCAATGCGGGACTCGAAAGGGTGGAGATGAGTTGGGAAAAAGCGTTTAATCCCTTTTTATTTAATTTTTATGAATAAACTAATGATAAATATTTACATGTTATTATCAAAGTCGTCATACTATCACAATTTGAGATATAAGGTCCGCTGTATCAGATTCTTTATTAATTTTTTTACGATGTAATTACAGTTACAAATACAATTCCGCCCTCAGCATTTTTTTCGTATGAAAAATTATATTAAAACTTTGTTTCTTTTTGGATTTTTGATAAATATCTCTGTTTTTAGGGAGTTTATGCTTAACAATTTTTTTTACATCATCCTAATTGGTTTTCAATTGTTCAAATTGCAATAAAATTAATTTTTAAACTTCCTGAAAACGGTCAAATGGATAATTATTAAAAACAACTTATCACATAATAATATTATAATACATTTTTGAGAAAAATCTATAGAAGTTCTAAAAATTAAGAAAAATTATGAAATCAAAAATTTCATCGAAAATCCAAAATGACAAGGGTAAAGACCTTTTAAGTAGTTCTACAATGGCAAAGGTGTGAAATCAGAATTAGACGTATAGAGCTTTTCAAAATGCAGAAGTGTTGGCTCAAAAAATAGAACATAAATTCAGAAAGCCTTTGAAAGATACAGAAGAATTGGCAGTTATGTAAGGATTAATTATTTTTCTTTTACATTACTCTAAATTACGTTTTTTTAATCGGTCAAGAAGCTCTTAAGATATGAAATTTAAAAAATATTTACCTTTTTGAATTTTTTACTCTAAAATTATTTGTTCAACTTCATTCAAATTTAGGATTTTATAATTTAATTTAAAATTATGAAAAAATTGTAATAATAAAAGTGAAATTTGAATGAAAAATTGAAAAAAAAATAGTTTTAATTAATACGTAGAAATCTTTTTAATCAGTATTATTTCATTAAATAATAATTGAAATTAACTTTAAATGTCACCTGTTTTAATAAAATAGCATATTTAATCCAATCATTAGATCAAAAGTAATTCAGATATGTGATTTTATTTTTAGTATTACTATATGGGAAATACACATCTAGAAGTTCCTTCCCATTTATTATAATCTAACTTTTAGAGTCTAACACTTTTTTTCCCTTTCTAGCCAGATTTTTCTAGTAGAATAAGAGAATTTAACTTATAGTCCCTAGTCAGATTATTAGATGTACTGTAAGATTTTATGTAATATTATAATTATCATTTGATACTATACAGCTGTATTGTTTTTACTCGGAAGAAACCGGTTTGCATTTGTTTACGTTCCTGCATCAATTGGTTAACATTGTAATGTTATACGTTGAAAATAAATACAAATAGGAAGTATATAAATTATAAAAAATCTACTGAATAAAAACCCATTACATGTGTGTTTAAATATAAAAGTATTGCATATAAACTCGTGCAAACCACGTAATTGTTAGAAAACTACATTGCGTCTAATAATTTGATCTAATTATTACATACTAATAAAATGCTAGATATAATAAATATTCTATATTTGCATAATATATCGACTAATTTATCCTATTTTCAAATTTATATTATCTATCGTCTAATTTAACCAATTGATAACACGAACGTAAACAAGTGCAAACCGGTGTCAATCACATAAAAACAATAAAGCTGTATAGTATCACCTGATAATTAAGATTTTACATAGAATCTTATAGTGCGTCTAATAATTTAGCGAGGGACTGTATATTAAGCAAATCTATTCCTGTTTTATTGTATACCAATCTAAATTTTTAATAATTAAAAGAAAGTGTCGTGTCTTCCAAAATTTTTCCCCAATGTGGTACATTTTCAGAAACTCATTAACTTGATAAAAACACTTTAAGTTTTTAACATCCCTTACTAATTAACAAGCAAGAACAGAGAACATATGCATTCCTGTGGGGGTGCTTAGTTGCTCAATACTAATTGCATTAGTTTTTCCAAATATCATCTTCATGTATGGAATAAATAGCAGTTAACTGCAGTCAACGAATGATGGTTGGATTGAGGGAGAAATAAGTGTAGAGAAGGAAATATGAAAAAGGCAAAAAATTGAGAAAGAAAAAAAAAAGAAAAAAAAGAAGAAAGGAAAGAATAAAAAGAGAAGGAAGAAAAACGTTTTTTGATAAACACGTAATTTAGTGCACTAGTTAGTAGTAGAAAAACTAGAAGTTACAAATTAATTAGCCAATTAGTGAGTTAGCAAATAAGTCATTAAGCAAGCTAGTCAGTGAACAATTGAATGCTTTGCAAACATTTCCATACCAATTAAAACTTAAATGCTACTTAAACTTTTATATGGTTGATCGAAAATAAGGAAAAAATACTCATGAAAACAATCTAATCTAATTTGGTGCGAGTAATTAATAGAGAGTTCATGTGTTGAAGTTGGAGGAAAAACGCATATTGATTAAATTTAATCACAAACGCATTTCTGTAAATGTTGCAATTTCCCTGTACACAATTTCTGCAATAATTATTTCTTCATACACTCTCATGTATTAAATTTTAGATGGTCTTGAAAAGCATAGTACAATCAGCCCCTCTTAAAGGAATACCATTGTTTCCAGCCAACTCTATTCAAATAGGATCACATTATAAGGGAAGTTCATTAGTCAATCGCAATATTTTTACCAACTTTTGCTTTTAAATATTATATAATGCATAGTTTTGAGGAAACAAACTCATTTTAATGATCAATAAACAATATAATTAGAGCTATCAGTATCATGAAATATAAATATCATTTGATAAATATAATAGAAATATCTAAAAATTAACCAATGCTAATTAAAAGTATTACATATTTGTTTTAGAATACTATTTTATTTATTTCCGTCTGTAATTAACACTTATTTTGACATTATATCGAGGTCTCTATTTTGACATTTAACTGGACAATTTTTAAGAGATGTGTGAATGAAGTTGCAACGAGCAGAGATAAAAAAAACTTTTCATTTACTATGTAACTGCTAACATAATTTGATTAATTTTTAAACTACTCCTGAACTGTTGGGCACAGGAATTGGACAGGAAGTACCTATTTAAGTGACCATGCATTGTATTTTCATTGTAACTGGAAAAATCTTTAAGCGTGGAGCATAAATTGTCTAAGAAATTTAATAGCGGTTAGTGGAGTATGCAATTAAGTGGGGATGACTGTACTAAGAACAAGAGAAATGTAGTGCAACAACATGTTCCACTACAAACCGTGTCCATTGCTGGTTCTTCTTCTTCCTCGACAATGTCTGATAATTCAGCTTCGTGCTGCATTTCTTCCAAGACATCACCCTGATGAGAAATTTGTCTCTTCATAAAAGATTTCATATTAGAGTATAATGATATATCAGTGGCGCAGATGGAATTATATTTCAAACAGGGAAATAGGGTGATGAAATTAAGATTATATTTCAAAAAGTGTCTAGTATACACTGCCTTGATAAAAGATTTTGGGGCAAATATCTGTTAACCCACATTGGGTATAATATTTTTCAAGATAGCTATAACTTACTCAACTTTCTTATAACTTACTTAACTAAAGCTTACTCCACACAACCAAAGTAAATAATAAATTAAAAATTCACTTCACCAGAGTTTATGATTAGGTTGATCCGCATTGTAATTAGAGCTTTAGCAATGTGAGTAAAAAGAAATAGCTTCTTAAATTAAATATTTTATTTCAGAATATGGAAACAAAACAGTGATATAGTATAATAATATTTTGTTATATTTTATTTTAAAAATCTAGAATTATTTGCATTTTAACTCAACTTTAGAATGAACAAATATATTTCTATAATTTAAAATATTTAAATTATACTAAAAGCAGATAAGATAGAATTACTTTTTAATTTTTTAACTTTCAGAAGTGATTACACTTCCTTAAAATCTACAAAAAATTAAGATTTTCAAGTATAGTAAAGAGTTCGAAAAGCATCACATAAATCATTTGAGGAAGAGGATTCAGTTTAAGAAAATCTTTCTTAAACATTCATTTAAATTTTTTTTCCATAAATTTACAAAATTTTTCTATGGATTCGAAAGTGAAAAAGTATCACTATTTAATATAATTAGTATAAACTATTTAGTATAATTAGTATAAATTATTTAATATAATTAGCATAAACTATTTAATATAATTACTCAATAAAATCATATTCTAAACTACCCAAGTTATTGATTATTTTAATATTAAACGACCATTTACTTGTAAAACTTAATGCAATTTTTTATTTCAAAAAATGGAAAGGACTTTAACTCTTTTTGGAATTAATATATTGTTGATGCTGCACAGGAGATATTGTAAACATAGTACAACGAACCAAGTTTTTAACTGCACAATCCGCATTAGAGAATTAAAGCTTGAATAAGTGCGAAAATAGATTTAGTTACTATTAGTAAAAAAATAATGTCATATTAAGATCTGTTTGTTAAATTAAAAGTTTTTACTATTTACAGAAAATAGCAAGCTTACTTTGTCAACATTACGTTCCCCACACAGCTTTGTCTGTGAAATATAAATTAGATATTATATTAAAAACAATTTAGTTGCGATTTATATGATTGCGACCCATTCTAAAGTATAATAGTAGTAATACATAATGAAAAAACTTCTAAGTGTTTAGTTTGCATACATTTATTTAAAATGAAATTATTCAATGATCTTAGCTTTATTTCAATGATTTTGTTTAAAGTTATGAGAGAGCAGATTAGCCGAAAGTTTAAAATGCAATGTAACTTCAGTAAAAAAAACTGAGATTAAATAGCCACAAACAAGGATGACTTTTATTCAACAATTTAAAATTTTCTTCTTTCTTAATGGCCAATTAAAACTTAAAGTAAATTCATTACTTATTTACTAATAATTCATATTTGTCAGAAATAATGATATAGAAAGCCAGTAACTAATATTTACTATTTATTAACCTAAACTTCATAAAAGAAGCGACAAATTTGGCCAAAGAAATGTCAGTTTGCAGTACAAAAAAAATCATTGTTGTGACAAAACTTTTAATACTTAGAATAACACACAAAAAAAGAGAAGATTTTTAAAATTTGTCCACTATACATCATGTGATCAAATTTAATCTAAATTGTGGGATTTTCTGTCATGTGATGGTTAGAAAACATAATTATCTGAAAAAGTTTTTAGAAGTTAAATAGTTGGATAGTTTCGTATTAATAGCTAAAGTTTGTGTATAGTTTGAAGTCTAAATTTTTTTTATCCTAAAAAGAGTATTTCTGTTCAGATAAATGAAAAATTTTGGATTACAAGCTATTAATAAAAATAATGCATTTCAATTATATTTATAAAGGTCCGAAAGAGACTTTAAAAATAAAAGGAATAAAAAAAAGAATGAAATAAAAACATTTGCAGCTAACAGTTTTTTCCCTCATTCACATCACATATATTAGAATATCTGTCTTAAATATTCACATATGTATAAGTATTAGTTAATCAGTGACACGAAATGTTTCATTGATACGTTCCATATTCCAATCTCATTTCTCATTCATTTTTAGCTTTTCTACCTAAGCTTATACGTAATGCTATATTTCGTATACGGAATTCGGAAAATGTTTTAAACTTTAGATTTGTGGTGAAATTTCGTAGTAATATAAAGTTTTGATTGGTAGAAGCTCACAAATTAGCGTCTTAAGATTTACAAGAAAAGTCTATGCCTAAATAGAAACTTTAATTTTTAAAAACCCTCAGTAAAAATTGTGTGCTATATAAAAAGTATATTTATTAAAATTTGGCTTTAATTTAGGAAATAAGTCTTTTTCGAAATTTTGTCACATACTGTTTATTTTAATGATGATATGGACTCTGTTACCAAGTAAAATTTTTACATTAATTAGATTTTTTTTTGCTCCATCGTTATACAGAGAAGCTAGAAACGAAAAATATAATTCTCTAACAATTTTTAACATGCTTTTTTTAAAAAGTTAAAATATAATTAATTAAAGTTCTTTCAATTTTATTTATATTAATTAAAAAGTTTGACTCTAACTGCAGCTATGCATCGAACTTACCCAACATTCAACAAAAATGCTATTGTATAGGCTTGTGAGCACTTTTGAAATTGTTTTCTGTGGTTATATATAGTATAATATCTTTTTTTAACCTAGTAAAATGGCGTGAGGGTACAAAAATGCTACATGAGTAAAGTAAAAACGTGTTTTATAATCATAGAAAATGCTAGTAAAAATTACAAGCAGGATTACCTATTAGAGCTAACTACTCTTATGATGAAAATAATACAAAATCAAAAAAGAAAGCCAAAGATAAATTTGTAGGGAAAAATATGTACCGTAGATAAAGTGTACCCGAGACACGTGTAAAAACCTGTGCCCTTCTGCATTTAATCTATGCAGTTGATAGGTGCAATAACTACTATCTGCAATATTGGAGACCATTGCAGGTTTTTGAGAAATGTGTTAAATAACTATTTCAATTTTCGAATTTTTGAGTACCAATCAATTTTGTTGGAAAATAAAACCTTATGGATGGTGGTTTCTACAATAGGGAGAGCTGAAAGCACTTGACTGCTTATTACTGTTTTTTGGTGTGCTTTGAAGCCATTTGGCTCCCCACGTGATCATTGCCTTTTGAGACTCTCTTGAGTAGAATTTCTTGCATACGTGTATTTGTTACCTGATTTATTATTTGCGTTTAAAAGAAGAATTGTTATAGGAATCGTCATTTGAAAAAAGAATCGTTATAAGACACTTCTTGCCTTGTTAGCAATATACCGACTTCGAAATTTAAGCCTAAATGACGATTTGTAAACTGAACTTAATCTCGCTGCTCGAGTAATATACTAACACTAACCACTGATAGTGGCCTGGTTGCACCAAGAACAAACATTAACAAACAAGTAAAGAGAGGCCAAATCAGAACTATCAAAAAAGCGAGTTCTTTATAGATCTAGCAACCCTGTCACCTTTTTTAAACAATACATCTCTAGATAACTAAATTTTTACTTCAAAGTCACCAGAATTACTTAATATTAATAATATCTTATGAAATACAGCAGACTTGAGTTCAGAAATTATATAATTTATTTCTTTCATTAAAAACAAAATTATCTGTTTGAAAATATGATCTCGCAGAATAATCTGTAGTAAGCAACTTTGGACTTTTTAATGGGAAGTAGAGCAGGTCAAGAGCTCGTTACTGTTGTTGTTTACATTTATATTGAAAACACCATCCATAGTAATTATATTTAGAAACAAAGCAAAGTTGGATAAATACCAAAGTGTCATTCTCTATAAAATAAAATACGAATTTTTGAATAAAAATAATTTTTTTTTGCTAGGCTTCACAAAATCAAAAAAAGTGAGTGCTTGTTGTACTTTCGTACTTAGTGCTTGTTGTACTATACTTTTGAACTGGCCTAAAGTATGTGTAACAGGTGCTTCTGAATGCCAGTTAGCAGAAATGCTATTCCTTGTGGATTATGCTACATAAAAGATGTAAAAAAAATTTATGTTTTTAGTAAATGTTTAATTTCTGTAAACATTCCCGCAAAATATTATTTGGTATTACGCTTATAAATTTCAGTTATTTATATAATGTATACTACTTTAATATTTCATTAAAAAATATATTACTAATTGCACGAATATCCAACTTTAATCAATTTTCAAGTTTCTAAGACAAAAACTCGACATAACTGTTATTAAAAGCGTAACATTCAACCGTACAAGGTAAAACACATGATGATCCAAGGTGCATACCATGTTGTACTTTGGATCATTTTGTTGACTGAAATGTATTTTTAGAACTGTATCACAATATTTGCTTGCAGAAAAAGTTATATCAATAGACAAACAACTAATCTACTTTCTCACAAAAAATTATTACATTCTGCATAAAAATAAGTTAGTCTAAGTTTCAACTGTCCTATAAACATGCCGATGACGTAATCTGCTTTAAACAGAAGTTTGAAAATTAAATAAATAAGTTAGCAAGCTATAAGCTTAGAAGGTTAAACTTTCTTAGATAATCATCTATTAATACTTCATTCCCACCCATTTTGAGGTCAATGTGATGACTAAGAAGGACTGTGTATTATTAGACATGGTGACAGCTTTAATGAGAAAACATTGAAGAGATCTAGAAAAAAATTTCAACCAAAATATTTCTTAAATATGATACACATTTTTCTGGAAATGTATTCCTTATGTTAATAATAATAATTAAAATAACTGGGCATGATTCAGTAATATATAACACTGACAGAGTACGAATGCTATTGATGTTGTATATTTACTTTAATTGAATG